ATGGTAAACCACCTTTCAATTTATAGGATTTTAAACCCTTGTACATGTACTATGGGATAAATAAATGAATGTTTCATCTCTTATGAGGGCTGTGTTATAATGAGATTATTAACTTCACTACACAGAGGCTTGAAGTTGATGCGAGTTTTGTGCCATCTTTGAGGGAATCCGTCGGTGTGATGCCCTCAGAAGATCACACCTCGATCGAGCTGTCTGGTAATGACAGGCCTGGTTTATTGTCTGAAGTTTGTGCTGTTCTTGCGGACCTTCACTGTAATGTAGTAAATGCTGACGTTTGGACACACAATAATAGGGCTGCAGCTGTAGTGCATGTGACAGATGATGCCACTAGCGGAGCCATCAAAGATACACAGCGGCTCTTAACAATCAAGGAGTTACTGTGCAATGTTCTCAGAGGGAATGGCGAGTTAAAGGAAGCCAAAATGACCCTTTCTCCTCCTGGGGTCACCAGCACAGACAGAAGGCTGCATCAGATCATGCAGACTGATAGAGATTATGAAAGGGCTGGCCAAACAAGGCTTGAGGTTGAACATAAGAACTTGAGACCCCATGTTACTGTCTTGGATTGCACAGAGAAGGATTACACTGTGATTACTACCAGATCTAGAGATCGCCCTAAGCTGCTGTTTGATGTCATTTGCACTTTGACGGACATGGAATATTTTGTCTTTCATGGGATGGTCAACACTGGGAGAATGGAAGCTTATCTGGTAATTTTAAGATCCCTTGAACCATTTAAGCTTTTAAGTAAGTTGTGATTTGAAAGAAAACGGGTACTTTTCTTTTCAGGAATTTTACATAAGACACAAGGATGGGTTGCCGATTAGCTCCGAAGCGGAAAGAGATCGAGTATTGAATTGTCTTGAAGCAGCTATTGAAAGAAGGGAGTCTGAGGTACAAGAGAAGCCATTGTTGAGTTTCTTTTGCTTATTGTTTGAAGGTGAAGTATCTGCAATATATAATGTTGTCTGGCTTCCTTTGCAGGGACTTAAACTAGAACTGTATGCAGAAGACAGAGTTGGGCTCCTCTCAGATATCACAAGAGTATTTAGGGAGAACAGCCTGTGTATCAGGAGAGCAGAAATAGCCACCAAGCATGGAAAAGCAAAGGACATTTTCTATGTTACAGACATGACAGGAACCACCATTGATGCAAAGATTGTTGAGTCCATTCGAAAACAGATTGGGGACGCCATGTTGCAGGTGAAACACAGCTCGTGCCTCTCTGAAACGTCCCCAAAGGAGACAACAACAGGAGTCTTCTTGGGGAACTTCTTCAAGGCAAGAACATTCCAAAATTTCAAATTGATAAGATCCTACTCTTGAAAGCAGCTGCTCTGCCCTTTGTGTGCATATTCTTTCACAAGTAAAAAAGATGCACAGATACACGATTAAGTTCAAGGGACAATGTAAATGTATAGGAACCCTTCCTTTTACCCTTACAACTGAGAGGTTTGGAATAACTATAAACCCAGAAGAAGCCTACCTTCTTCTGTTGAAAGGCAAGTTTGATTGGATGTATGTATTTGTTGTCTTTTAAGAAAATGGTGTGCACAGGACAGTGTAGTGTGAGGAAAATGCGTATTCTACAAAAATTGTAGAAAAGACTGTAAAGCTGTAATTATTGGCCTCAAACTCAATGGAAATAGATGCACAAAATTGCCTTCTTATTGTATGTTTGAAGATCCTTGGGAATATCATTCATCAATTGTTGAAACGTGATAGTTCTTGTATTGTTTGAAGAATCTGTAAAATTGGATCTGCTTTTGGAGAGGAAGGAAGAAATGCTAATAACTCACTGGATATAACAGACAACATTGATGGAGAGGTTTCTTGAACCCACTCCACATGTTGCTTAGCAAGTGGAACCTCTCCAGCATCTGCAAAACCTTTCAGTAAAGTTACGTGGGAGTCTGGGTGAGCAATGTCGCTTGTGAGACCACGGAGTAATTTGGAAGCAGCAAGGAAATGACCTGCAGTGTTTTGAACCCAAGCTAAATTAAATGAAAATATTGAATACAGAACCGTTTTCTGGTCCTACAGGACTCTTTGTAGGACAAAAAGAGGCAAGGAAGCTCGATGTGGACACTGCTAATTCAGATGAGTGTAAGGCAACATAGCCGACAAGGGTGTAGTCGAAGAGATAACTCCAAAGAGAGTGATTTGGCCAATAGAAGTGAGGATGTTACAGGGTCAACAATGGCTTTGGTTGTTTATGAACAGGGTCTAGGTAACAAATGGGTGTAATCTAAGAGATAACCTATAACCCCAGGTTTGGGCTCAGGCCGATATTGTCTTTTTTAGACTTTTTCTCAAGGTTTTAAAACGCATCTGCTAGAGAGAGCTGTGGGGAGAGGTTTATTCTGATCCTCTCTCCAACTGATGTGGGATCTCACAATCCACCTGCTTCAGGGCCAAGCGTCCTCGTTGGCACTAGTTCCCTTCTCCAATCTATGTGGGATCTCACAATCCACCTCTTTCAGGGTCTAGCGTCTTGTTGACACAGCGCCCGGTGTCCACCCCCCTTTGGGGCTCGATGTCCTCGCTGACACACTGCCTGGTGTCTGGCTCTGATACCATTCTTAACCACTCAGATCCATCGCTAGCAGATATTGCCTTCTTTGGGCAGTCCCTTTCAGGCTTCTCCTTAAGGTTTTAAAACACATATGTTAGGGAGAGGTTTCCACATCCTTATAAGGAATATTTCGTTCTCTCTCCAACCGATGTGTGATCTCATATAACTCCAAAAGAAAATGATTTAGCCGATAGATATTACAGGGTCAGGGTCAGGGTCAACCATGGCTTTGGTTGTTAATGAAGGGTGTTATCCAACAGATAACCCAGGAGAGAGTGATTTGGGCCATAGAAGAGGTTTTGTAAAGGGTCAAGTATGGCGGTGCCTATGGGACTTGTTATGTGAGAAACAAATGACTCCAAACTAGAAGCATAAAACAAGCACACAAGAATTAACCAGAGAAGTGACTTGCCTGCTTTACACAGACACAGGATAAAAGTGCTCAGCAAGGTTCCCGCAAGATCTACATCCTGTTCAACACACTTGCTAAACACTTCAAAAGCAGCTTCCAGTTGTGATTCCTGACAGAGCCCTTGAAGCAGGGACGTGTAGATTGTAATGTCAGGTTCCACCTTTTTTCCAAGCATATGACGGTAGAGCACCAAAGCTTCCTCCATCTGATTGGATTTCGAAAACTTTTGAATGAGGATGTTATACGTCTTTAAGTTACCTCCACAGCCACTGGCAAACATCTCATCCCACAGCTTCCTAGCAGGCCGAAGTAGATCTTCTCTACAACATGCTTCTAGCACAGAATTGTAAAAGTATACATCGGGGGCAAACCCATTTTTCTTCATCTCCTGCAGAACACCATAGGCCTCTTTCACCATTCCAGCCTTGCATAAGAAAGAAATTCTTAAATGATATCTATCATAATCATCGAAGTAATTATGTTTACTCAGAAGTTGATAAACTTCCAACAGTTCGTCAAGCTTTCCATGCTTGCATAGATTCCTACTCAGATTTCTTAAAGTCAGGAGAGTGGGGAATCGCTCTTTCTCGACCATCAACTTCAAGAACATAATAGCAGAGGAAGGATCAATGGCAGCGACTGATCCTATCAGCACATTAGAAACATCTTCATCCATAGGAAAATTTCCTCTCACAATAACTTCACCTAACTCTTTAGCTTCACATATCCGTCTCCCAGCTATTAAAGCAAATAAGAACTCCTTATAATCATGAAGCCTTGGAGCTACCCCCAACTTTCTCTTCTTCTTCAGGGTTTTCTCCCTATCAACCACACTCCCTGCTGACTGATATGCTTCTCCAAGAATCCAATACGTCAAAAAGTCAGGCTTACAACCCCTGTTCTTAAGCTCATCCAAAATATTTGAAGCTTCTGGAAGTCTAGATGCCCCACAGAGCCCATGAATGATCAGCGTGGCAACGACAGACCCATTGATCTCCGAATTATTGGTCATAGCATCATCTAGCATGTTCAAAACTTTAACTACATCAGCGTTTCTACAAACCCTCCATATAAACACACCAAATCCAAGAGTGTTGAAAGGAATGCCTTTAAGAGACATTTCATCGAACACTTTCTGGGCATGCTCAAAAAACCCATCAGAAGCAAGAGCAGCCAAAAGCGAATTACATGGTTCGGATCCAATAACGCGAGTAACTGAAGTAAGCTCCTTAAAAACCAGAAAAGCATCATGTGTTTTCTTGCCAATGATCAACGAATCAATAACAGAGTGATAAACAGATAAATCGAGACCAATTCTCTGAGTTTTTACCTGTTTCAAGAGGCTATGAATGGCCCCAAATTGGCGTGAAAGAGAGAGAGACTTGAGAACCGACTTATAGGATTCAGAATTGTGGGCGAAACCTGGTTGCTGAGAAGCCCAATTGAAGAAACCGAGAGCGAGGGAGTGATGACTGAGAAGATGAGGGTCGATGACTTGAGAGACAAGCGATGGATTTAGCGTTTCGCGGAAACCGAGTCGATGCAAATTCTGCTCCAGTGAAGGGGTCCATGATCCAGCCGGCCTTGTGTGATTTGAAATTGATAGTATGGTTCTGCTCACTCGAGTAGCCAATTCTTGTAAATGTGGTTTCATTTCAAAACTGCGCGGGAGTGAACGGCTTTCGTTTCTGAGTCCGTCCTTCCTCGAATTGTCTCCTTTGGGAGTAATTGATGAACAATATGGAGGCAAAATGAATTATCATGGTCGAACTTAAAAAAAAATAATAATAATGATAATAATTTTTCCTCTAAATTGGATTCAAGCATTAATAAAAAATAGTTCATGGATTGAACTTGATATAATTCACCAATAATTCGTCGATGAACTTTAATTCCCTTTTAATGAAAATGTATTGATTCCAACTTAAAGATTTACAATTGCAATTCTAAAAAAAGGATATTTTTTGTTTCTTTGAGATTGGCAAGGAAACCTCGTGTAGGCTCATGGGTGATCTGTGTTCGTGTAGTATTTCTCTTCCGTGCTTTCCTTAACTGCTAGTTCACGCCATCGCAACCCAACCAAATCGCTCTTAGAAAAGTGGCAGCCACTACCATCTGCTACAAATTCGCATCGCGACGGCATGGATAATCGGAAGGTTATCGTCTGCGACAACGGAACTGGGGTATCTCTTTCTTCTTTTAACCGCTGCTTCAACCTATCGATTTCTCCCCCCTCGATCACCCTCTTCTCGATTCGGTTACCTAAAATTAGATCGTTGATTAATCGCAGTATGTGAAATGTGGATTCGCCGGGGAGAATTTTCCCACATCTGTGTTTCCTTGTGTGGTGGGGAGGCCTCTGCTTCGCTACGAAGAATCGCTCATCGAACAGGAGTTGAAGGTTCGCAATTTCCCTGTTTTGTTTTGTGTCGCTCATCGAACAAAGAATCGCTCCTCCGTTTTCATTTGAATACTGTAGTCACGTGAACTGAGAAATCATCTCTGAATTACTCCTAGGACATTGTTGTCGGAGAAAGCTGTGCAGATTTGCGTCATCAACTTGATATAACCTATCCAGTTCACAATGGAGTTGTCCAAAACTGGGATGATATGGGTCATGTGTGGGACCATGCCTTTTTCAATGAACTGAAGGCAAGGATTTTGTAGCACTTACAATCAGCATTACACATATAATGCCGAACTAAATTGCTTCTGTGTTTGCTGCCAATAGATAGATCCAAAAGAATGTAAAATTTTGCTCACAGACCCACCTCTGAATCCTTCAAGGAACCGTGAACAAATGGTTTGTGAGCTTTGATTTTCTTTCAATTTTGTTTCGATTTCATTAATGAGTTGGGTCAATTTAACCTCACAGGTTGAGACGATGTTTGAGAAGTACAACTTTTCTGGGGTCTTCATTCAAATCCAAGCAGTTCTAACTTTGTATGCTCAAGGTGCTTATAAAGATGAATGAAGGTGTACCTTCCCTTATATATTTGGTTAGTAGATCATAATTGTTGAACAGAAAAGTAAATATGATTACGATGCAGAAGAAAAAGGCATACACCTACGGTAAACACCCTCAAATTCACTCTTGTTTTTCAGCTAATTCTTCACTCATTCTTCTTCATCTGCCAGGTTTACTGACCGGGTTAGTCATCGACTCCGGTGATGGTGTCACTCATGTGGTAAATAATTTACATATTGCTGAAATCTTTTAGCTTCCTTGTGCTTATTGAACAAAGTAAATTTGTTGTCCAGGTTCCAGTTGTTGATGGTTACTCATTTCCTCATCTTACAAAGAGAATGAATATAGCTGGGCGACACATTACTTCTTATCTTGTCGATTTACTCTCACGGAGAGGGTGCGAATTGTTTTTCGTTGCACAGTCGATATCAAAACTGGATGGAAATTAAGAGATTATTTCTTCAGTTAAATGGATTGTTCTTTGGCTAACACATACAACTTCTTGAAGGTATTCGATGAATAGGTCTGCTGATTTCGAGGCTGTTAGGGAAATTAAGGAGAAGTTATGCTATATAAGGTCGACTGAACAACTCGACTTCGTATGCTTTTGATATGTGCTTGTTCACCACGCTTTAATGATACATGTACGTATGTATATATGTGCAGTTATGATTACAAGAGGGAATATCAACTGGGGCTTGAGACCACCATTCTTGTCAAGAACTACACTGTAAGTCATCTTTGGAAATTCTTCGAAGAATTCAAATTAATCATACTCTGTATAAGTAAACTCCTCTGACTTAGATTGAAGAGTCTGGCAGTTCACAACAGTAATAATCCTAATGGACCTAGCTATATAAGTAACCACTCCAGGTTGCCTCAACTCAACTAAGACAGCATATTCTTAGTTGAAATACTCGAATATTAAGATTCCCCACAACAATGTCGAAAAATATCTACTGTGACTCAATTTTTTTACGCGTGTGCTGTGAACGACCCAATTAGGGTTTTGATTTTAAGCGCGTACGTACACTTTTATAGACTATATTTCTTTGAAATTTGGGTCGAAATCATTGCATTTGAACTCCAGGTTGCCTCAACTCAACTAAGATGGCGTATTCTTGTTCTGACATGATTTGCAGACTTTTTTTGAAGTTTGTTGATTTGAGAGCTCTTTTACTTGGTTTTGGTCTTACTGAGAGTTGTGTTTGATGTTATTTTAATTTCACGTGGATGATTTACTTTGAGCAGCTTCCAGATGGAAGGGTGATCAAAGTTGGCACCGAACGTTTTCAAGCTCCCGAGGCGCTTTTTACACCAGTAAGCCTCTGATTTTTAACAAAGCTTTCTTTTTCTTTGTTCAACATTGTTATGTGCACTGTACTTATAACAACGTTGAGTAAATAATAAATGAAGTTCGTTCCTTCATGAAGGAACTGATAGATATTGAAGGGGATGGCATAGCAGATATGGTTTTTCGTTGCATTCAAGAAATGGATATTGATAATCGGATGATGGTATGGTTAGATGTTTCATATGATTTCAAGAAATGGATATTCATTTTTGATGTTGATGTAAATATGAATATCACTGGTTTGCAGCTTTACCAGCATATCGTTTTAAGTGGTGGGAGCACAATGTATCCAGGATTGCCTAGTCGGTAATTACTTCATGTTTTTAACTGTAATTACTTCATAGGGTTGACCCGTAATTGGTGTTTAATATGTGTTTAGAGCTTGATTACATGGGCGACTAATTGTAATAATATTCAGTTTGGAGAAGGAAATAGTTGAGCGCTATCTGGAAGTGGTGTTGAAGGGAAACAAAGATGGTTTAAGGGTAATATCTAATCCGATCCCGTTAGCTATTAGTTATTATATGTGCCTGTAATTAATCTGAATGATCCATAGAAACTGAGATTGCGCATAGAGGATCCACCAAGAAGAAAGCACATGGTGTATCTGGGAGGTGCAGTCCTAGCAGGAATAATGAAGGTATGTTTGAGTATGGCGATACTATTAAACAAGCATTTGAGAAAAGAGGAGGTCACTGTATGTTGTGACACATCCAGGATGCACCTGAGTTTTGGATCAGCAGGGAGGATTATCTAGAAGAAGGTGTTGGTTGTCTAACAAAATGTGGGCAGGCATGAGTTTTTGGGAATCAGTTGGTTCTTGTTTCCTCTCCACTTTACCTCCAGTTTCTTTGGTTTCAGAGTTGTAATGCAATCACAACCTGTTTTGAACTCAAACATCGGCGGCTACTAATTTGTTCTTCAAAGACTCAATTCAGTGTCAGTTTATTTGTTTATAAAGTTTCAAATATTAAAACACCTACAAAATCTAAGGCTTCACTCCAAATACTACCAGAAGGGAGAATAGACTTCTTTTACGTTAAACTCTATATATCCAAAAATTGAAACTTCTCTTCCACCAGGTTTCGAGGACTTGGCCGTTCCAACTCTTCCAAGTGTTTTGTGGGTCAAACAAAGAATCATCAACAGTGGTAACAGTCGTGAGTGGTGAGAGGAAAGTTGTGAGATCCCACGATGGTAAATCTCTCCCTAATAGATGCGTTTTAAAACTCTGAGGATGACAACTATACGTAACGGGCCAAAGCGAACAATATCTAGTAGCGGTGGGCCTAGACTGTTACAAATGGTATCAGAGCCAAACATCGGGCGGTATGTCAATGAGGACGTTAGCCCCGAAAGGGGTGGACACCGGACAGTGTGCTAATGAGGACGTTAAGCCTCAAAGGGAGGTGGACACTGGGCAGTGTGTCAACAAAGACGATGGGCCCTAAAAGGGGGTGAATTGTGACAATATCTGCTGCCGGTGAGCCTAGACTGTTACAAATAGTATTAGACCCAAACACCAAGCAGTGTGCCAACAAGGACACTGAGCTCTGAAGGGGGTGGACACAGGGCACTGGTGGACACTAGGCAGTGTGCCAGCGAGGACATTGAGCCCTGAAGGGGGTGGACGCTGAGCCCTGAAGGGGGTGGACACCGAGCAATGGGCCAATGAGGACGTTGAACCCTAAAGGAGGTGGACACAGGAGAGTGTGAACATAGATATTGGACCCTAAAAGGAGGCGAATTGTGAGATGACCCTAAAAGGAGGCGAATTGTGAGATCCCAAGTACTGCAACTTCCTCCTCACTGCCACAACAACAAGAAGATCAAGAACCAAGGGAACCCACATCTGCCGCCACTACGAATGCCATCTTCACTGCTGCCACCACCAAAGCAGCCTCAAATCAGCTCAACCATAGCTTGATGGGTCGGAGCAGGTAATTAAAAACTTGATCTTTATTATTAACTTGGAGGGTGAAGTTCAGTTCAGCTGTACTTTTGATTTTATATATTTTAGTTGGTTGGTTGGTTGTTCCCATTTAAAAGCGTCGGAACAAGATAGTGGACTGCACTTTCTTGCATGTGCACAAGTAGCTGCTTTCAGGAGGAGGCCCCGCCATAGACGCCGTACGAGAAACCTGCTGGTGCTCAACCAATTGAATTCCACGCAATTGGAGAAGATCTTGAAGGCCTAACGCCAAACATGTTCAACTGCCACGTCGGGAACTCACTGCCAATTATCCGGAATCCCTCGTACTTGTTGGCAAGGACAAGGGCTGCTTGCTGTTGGGGTGCATGGAGATGCTGACGAGGATATAGTTTCTATGAATGTTTAACTACTGATTTCCAACTAAAATATCAAATTTGAAAAGAAGTGTTTGTAGGGTAAATGGAGAAAACAATTAAAGAGGAGTAAAAATGTGTTGATTAAATACTGAGCAAATACAGAGGAGGGAGATAACAGCGATTACATTCCTGTCTGATCAAAGGAAATGATGGGAAGAAAGTGAACATTAATAATTAGTTGAATAATTAGTATGTCCAAAGTAGTGGGGACTGACAAATCAAACCCAGAAAAAGAAAAAAAAGAAAAGAAAAAAAGAACACTCAACCCTCCTCTTCCTCTGTAAAACTTTAAAGAAAAGAAGCAGAGACGAATGGAGTCAAAGCCAGAGAGCTCCGGCGTCTTTAAGGAGAGGGACGAGGGTGCCACTGATGTGGGAGGCCATGACTCTATCCATGGCGCCCACCAGCTTACCACCAATAAACACGACGGGGACGGCAGAGGAGGTTCCCAAGAGCGTCATCAAGGCCTTCTCCATCTCCCCACCTCTGGGGTCCTCGTCCAGCTCGTGCACTGTTGGATTCACTCCCATCCCACAAAACAGCCGCTTTATAGCATGACACATGCAACACGTACTAATGCTGAATATGACCACCGCGTTCTCGGCTGCCAACCGCTCTATCCGCTCGACCGGATCCTCGACGGCGGCGGTGGTGGCCATATAGCACCCCCAAGATGGCGTGGTTTGGTAATGCATGTTGTTCACAAACAAAAAAACAAAGCGCAGAAGATGGATGGATGAATGGAATGATGAGAATGCAATTATTATTTATAGAGGGGGGGGTTTGAAAGATTTGAGAAGTTGGGGGGGTGTGTTGTTGAATATATCTTTTTAAGGGACAGCTTCTGAGGTTCTTAATTTAATAAAAGGACCAAAAAGCCAAAAGCTTTGGTCTCCCTCTAAAAGTAGAAGAGAGATAGTGGTCAGCGAACGCATGCGATATCTCAAAGACAGAGAGGAAGACCCTGGAGTTCCCATTTTTTGAACTATAATGAAGAGAAAAAGAAAAGTGAAGGAATTTGGGAAGAACCACCACAAAATGAACAAAACAACCCCTTTTTCTTTCAATTTTTATACCAACTTCAACACCTTCAAATGATACCAATGCCCTGTTAACTCTTTGCATCCCATTATTTAACATCAACAAATTTGAAAGATTTCATTTCTCTCTATTTTGTAACAGCTCAGCTCCACCGCTAGCAGATATTAAAGCATGTCTGCTAAGAAGAGATTTTCACACTCTTATAAAAAAGGTTTTGTTCCTCTCTCTTTTGTAACACATCATATTGTCTGTTTTGGCCCATTACTATTGCCATCCGTCCCACGATTTTAAAACATCTATGCTAAGGAGAGGTTTCCACACCCTTATAAAGAATGTTTAGCTCCATCTATTTTGTATCAGCTCATATTGTCTGTTTTGACTCATTATGTATTACCCGTTAGCGTCACTGTTTTTAAACGCGTCTACTGGAGAAAAAAATTTACACTTATTCCTCTCTCCAAGGGAGCGAGGGATCTAAGAGTGTATTTTAGGGAGATTATGCCCTAAAAGTTAGGGTGACAAAGGTTGAGGTGTTTTGGGGTACATAATAATTAAAGCAATGTCTATATTCTTTGAATCTGAAGTGACAAGTACTAAGTAAGCGGGTGATCCTGTTTTTTGCTCCTTGTTTTCCCTTTATTATATTAGAAATAAACACGTATTGTAGACGAAACATGTCTGATCTAAATCTAAGTTCTTCCTAGGAAAAACAATCAAACCTGCAAAATCAAGTTACCCAACAACCAAAAAAAAGAAAAAAAAAAAAAAGTATCTTGAAGGTTGTCGGCCGGCAAGAGAGAGAGAGAGAGAGAGAGATCAGACGGCTGCCACTGATCTTGATCATTGCATTTCAATCCCCTTTGTTGAATAAAATAATATGGGTTCCAAACAAAACAACGTGGACGTCACAAATCTATGTTTCTTCCCTTTTCCAAATTTAAGGTATGCGTCTTCGCTTTTTCTTCCATATATTCATCAGTGTACTTACCATGGTCCTAATGCGTTAGCTTAAAAATAGAATGGTAAAAAAAGTTGAGGGTGTGGTGTAAAAGTAAAAATGGGAGTAAAATAAGAGGTAAAAGGGAAAGGTGTTCAAAGTTAGAGAATTTGATTATTATTATTGTTATTGTTTGTTGAAGTAGAATAGTGATATTGGTGAGTGGAGTGGGAGCACGCATGTTTCTCTTATGTTCCAGACATGTACACAACATGTTCTCTCTTATTTACTATATATTAATGTTTTATACTTCTTATGTTTTACCCTCTGTTTCCTTGTTCTTTGTTCTATGTTTTGTTCATTTCTTCATCATCATCCACACTTCTTTTCCCTCCAAACAAGCATATACCCCCACCCCCTCTCGAATCGACTTAGTTAAATTTCCACGTTAGTTGGGGAAGAGAACGAAACATTAGGTATGAAAACCTCTCACTAGTAGATGCATTTTAAAACCGTGTATAGATTTGTGAGGGGGTAAAGGTGAAACCATTCGTTTGTGTGGTTGAGGAGTAGAATTAAGTAAAAGAAGGGGGAGAGGGAGTGCGGGGCAAGGTGTGTGGGAATGACTTATGCTGTCTATTGGTCTCCCACTTTTGGGAAGCAGGCCACAAATAGATTTGGAGTTATAGATTAGGGAACCCCAAGTAGTAAGCAAAGGCATGGCCTTTCCTTTATATCTCTCTCTCTCTCTCATTACCTGAGCACACACAAAGGTGGCACGCCCTTTTGAGGGTGTTAATTAATTAAACCAAGCCACCCCTTTTAAGGGCTTAAGGGCGTACTTAGAAGAGGAGAGGACAGAAGATGTGGGACAATGGACGCCCACTTTGGGACAGGCTTTGCTTCTCATTTTTGCTGACGTTACCCCAACGTTGACTGCTTTTTAAGCTTCTGTCTTCTTCTTTAACTTATTTATGTATTCTTTTGTTGGAACCCTCTGCTGCATCCATCTCTGTTTGTCGCATTTTTATGCTAACACTCACTCCAATTCCTCGTCTCTTGGCTACTTTAATCCGTTACATATTGTTGTCAGCTTTACGATGTATTTACTAAAAAAAGGTTTCCGCACCCTTGTAACAATGTTCTATTCTCTTTTCCATCCGACTTGGGATCTAACAATCTGCCCTTTAAAAGACCAAGCATCTTGGCTGGCACACCATTGGGTGACTGCAACTTTATTCCGCAGCTGACCTACCTTATATTATATATTTTGGATCTTTTTTCCTCTTGTTCTTTTCCCTTTACTACTTAGCTTTTGAAGTATATTAAAGAAGAAGGAGAGTGTGTTGTGTTTTGGTGTTGGGATCTGACGGGAAGGTGCTTTTGTCTCCCTCTCTTGGCCCCATGCTGTTTTGTCTCTCACTCTTTTAAGGGAATGTATGCTTCATCACCCTTTTTCTTTTATTACTTCCATGTGGATTAACAATTATTAAATAACTTTTTTGCTACTCAACTTTACCCTCTTCCGCGTGTTATACAACAACCTTAATCGTTTCTTTTCGAGATTAAATTGGATTAACTGAGAGGAGCAACTACCACCTTGTCGTGAGCTTTGTAATACAACCAAATGGCACACATTGGACCACGAGAATGGGCCACCTCAGAGTACAATGGCCCACCTCAGCCCTTGGTCGAGGTGCCATTTGGGCATTTGGGGCTACTGCATGGTCGGCTGGGCTTGAATAGTGATCGGGCCAGGGCTTTGGATGGTGGTTGACCCAGGACTTGGTCGCCCTTATGTGAGCCCGATCGAATCCTGGTTCTTGAGCGTTAGATTTGTAATAAAAATTTGCCTGAAAATGAAATTCGTCTGCCCGCCATACGCCACCACAATCATTTTCGTGCCCACACCACTCCCGCCAAATCCTGCAACCGGTGATCGCCGGTGACCGCCCCAAACTTCCGGTATCCTTCATTTTCTTGTTAATCTCTCTTCCCGGCTTTTTTTTCCATTTTTCTTGCCGTGGGACTTCCGACTTCGTTCCTCTTCAACTTCTTTTTGATTCCGCCATGTTTGATGTTCGATTAACGATTTGAATTGGCCAGTAGGGTTTTGAGTTATTTCATTTCTCCGCTTATTCTATGTGAGCCGACTGTTTCTATCGAATTCGAACACAATGAGCGCTGTGAATATCACGAACGTTGCAGTTCTTGACAATCCATCGCCCTTCTCTACTCCCCTTCAGTTCGAGATCTCCTACGAGTGTTTGTCTTCTCTCAAATACGGTATTCCCTCGATCTACTTTTTGTCGCTTTCTATGTCCTATGTGTGTTCATTGATGATTTCCTGTTCAGTACTATTTCAATTAAGTTTTATTAGGGTTTACTTTTTAGAGGTTAATCTTCCAGAGCTTTTTGCATAATTGACTGTGAATGCAATCTCGGAAAAGTTAAACTAATGTCAGATAGTTTTTGGTAACGTACGAACAGGTTTGTAGTACTCGGGCGCACCTTCATACTGAAGTCCTTTAGTTTTGACTTTGAATCCTGTATCTAATATTTCTTATCTGTGAATAAAGTTTTCAATATTGCCTGAAGGATCCGAGGAATTTCTGCTTACATCAGCCGAATTACTTGATGGAAAGAAAAATGTGGTTTGATTGTAAAAGAACGTGTAAGATGACCTTTCTGGGACTTGTAAGAGAATATAGATCTGAACAGTTTGGGGGAATGAAATTAATCCCTTGATTTTTGGATTGGTAATGAATAGTGTTTATTCCTTAAAAAAAAAAAAAAAAAAAATTGTCTCCACTCAATCTTTAATATAGTTTCTGTCTCCTCTTCATGGGCGCTTTAGTTTATACCATTCTAGTGAGTAGTGACTAGTGAGAAGGGGAGATGCTGTAGTTATTTCTAGGCTTTGTCCTTATCATTTGGTGCAAACGGTAAATGTTCTAGAACTGGATATTTGGTTTCGGCAAAATGGCTAGTTAACTCTGTCTTGGACTTTTAGGTGAGTATCTTATTGTCGTCTTGGTCCACGCTTTTATTTACCTGTACCTCTAAGGTTGCAAAATTCTCTGCATGCTTTTTGAACATGAGCCTGAAGATACACTTGGAAAGTCTAGGACCTTATTCTCTATGTTATATTGCATGTTAGTGAGTCTGCCAGTGATTATCATATCATGATTCCTAATATTTTCCCTCTGTATTCATTTCTACTCCATCTAAGATTGAAGGTAAATAATTGATGTGTTAGCCCTATATATGTTGAGGGATAGGATATTACTAATTTTCAATTTATTGGATATGTAATGGGATCACTGATGATGAACCAGAATATTTATCTTAGTTTATTTATGTATCTTGGTCAATTGGATTATTGTATGAGCATATCAAGCAAAGAATTTTGGCGTTTCCTGAGTATGATTAAATTTTTGTGATGATAGCAACATTACTTATAGGCTGCTTGGTATCAAGTTAAAAAAATTACTTTGATAGAGGTTTATGATGAAACTTAAAAGGTGATTGTTTGATATGTATATGGTTTGGATGTTGGCTATTGAAAATGCACCATTTAGTTATCCAACTTCTTACTTTGCGCACAACATTAGGATATCTCAGAAGAAACTATGTTCTTTGTTTAGTCAATACTCCAGCAACGTGGTATGTATTTGATTAGGCTCTTGAGGTACTTGTGGCATATGTTTAAAGAACACTCTTGTGTACTTTAGAACTTAAGCGGTATATGTTAACAGGAAGGCAGGGAACAGAATCTGAAATACTTTCTGGTATTTTTTATGGAAAAATGGC